AGCGTTACCCCAACAGGCGCTGGTGTATTAAAATTTATAGTAAACACTTGACGTGCTATTTATAGGTATTTCCCTTTCTTGAGGACCATCTCCGAAAGGACAGGGTCAAATGGGAAATTCGTGTAAAGTGACATTTCCAAGGACACAGCGGTGGACCGAGTTGAGGCTCGAACCCCCGAGCCCACAGTCTCTCAATTACGGGTAGAGTGGCCTAACCACTAGGCTACTTGTGCCACCCATTTCTTGTACGGTGTATAAAAGAACACCAGACTTTACTAGACAGTTTTTATTTACATGTATACAAACGAGAACATTGTAAACTTGGGTTATCTCTTTGTCTCCTCAAGGTGGAGTTCATAATTTCAGATTACTATGGGTGGAATTATTTATTGTTTTTAAAAGTGATGTAGTAGAGCTGAACAGCAGAACGGTGAATTCATCTCGGAAAATCGTGACCTGATTTTTCACTGGGATTTTAAAGATTGTTTGAAGCACTGAAAACAGCATTGACTTATTTGTATCAAGGCCAACACACTGTTTCACTCTTTTTATCCTCGACTCGATCAGCGGCATGGGTGAAATTTTACAGTCACAAGTTTGCCTGTTTAGATTTACTTGAATGTATTCTTCACTTTAACGCAAACACGCGCGCGCGCGCGCACACACACACACACACACACACACACACACACACACACACACACACACACACACACACACACACACACACACGTTTGCTTAGGTTATTTAGTTCTTGCATCAGTTTGTTTACTTGTTGGCTTTTGTATTGCATTTATCTTCAATACTGGGGGTGAGTAAAGTGGAGGGGGGGGGGGCAGCAGCTTGTAGTTGATGCTTGAAGTAAAATTCAAAATAATATTGTTGTTGTTCTTTTACAGCAATCACATTTTCCTTTTCCTAATTCAGAATTAGTCAGTGAACGGTTAACGGGTGCTCTGGTGTGGTCTGCTCTTCTTTCCAATCAAACATCTGTGGTCCTTATCTTTCTTCCTTTTTTGTGTTTGTTACCATCTTGAAACACTTCTTTTCTTCTGCACCTTAATATATGACCTTATTGTTGTGCAAGTGCCGTAAAACACGTACTAACAACTACTTGAATTATTGGTCAGTTAATAAAAATTGTTCTCCTATCAAGCATAGCTAACAACAGCTAACTTTTTATGATATTATGACTTCGACTTTAGAATTTTACAGTAACAACAATAACCACAACAAGCCAAGGGAAATAGTGATGTGTGAAAACTTTGGGAATAATCGTATTTCCGAGAGTTTTTCATGTTGACGTTTCAAGCTCTAGTTTGGCTAAATAGAATCTATATTATTTGGAAACGAAATTGCCAACTCTTTATGATCACCTTCCCTTTCATTTGCTTCAGTGGTTTCAATATCAAATTCCATTTACATAATCTGCATAGAAACTCCAAAGATGTGTTTTAACTATGCTGTTCTCAGTTTATTTGTCCTGTATTCTTACAATATTGCTTTATATCAATGCTCTATAGCTTGTTCACTTTCGTCTCACCGCATTAAACAAATTCTAGCTCACATAGGAATCTGCATATGCCCTCGAAACTTTACATAGCACTTCTGCAGGCCAGCGAGCAAACAACTTTTTTTCTCCAAAAATACAGAGTGATGAAAAATGAACTGGACTACT